ACCATGCCCAGCGATTATTGTGGACAGAAATAAGACTGTCAAAAGAAGGAAGAAAATATTCTGGAGATATCATTTTGTTATGATAAGATCATAATTATTTTTAATGTGTGTTTATTTCAATTTGTATTTTCATTTTTTGAGGATTATCTACTTACCAATCTTAGTAATGATGTGATACAACTGGTCAATATCTGAATCCCCTGGGAATAATGGCTCCCCTGTTAACATCTCAGCCAATAAGCAACCCACTGCCCATACATCTACAGGCCTGTACAGGAAAAAAAAACATACATTATTTTGTATTTCAAACAGAATTTCTGGATAACAAAACACTTAACTCTACATAAAAATCAATTTTCAGTTTAATTCCTTCTTAAGAGGGCTTGACTACTATTTTAATTGTGATTTGCGATAAAAACCCCTTTATAACATTGTTTAGCCTGCGAGCAAGCTCTTTGGGGCACTCTGATGGTGGGGTGGGAAAAGGAAGGAGAGGTTGCAACTTACGTGTCTGGAATTTGAATATCTGCATTGAAAAAGTCAATATGAAATGCTGATTGGCAGAGATGACGTATGTAATGATGTCATTACCCTTGGCACCTTATTTTCAATGTTCGTTTATATTTGGGACTGTTTCCACTTTGCATGATTGGCGGAAATCTAACACCTCTGTCCTCAGTAAACATGGAGCCAAAGGGGAACTGAAGGTGGAATTCAGATTTCAGAGATGTAGTTGCAAGCTCTTCTTCGTTTTCTTGCCAGAGCGCCCCGGAGAGCTTGCTTGCATGCTAAATATTGTTTAGATTTATAGCACAAAGGCTAGAGAGGCCAATTGTCATCAAGGCTGTGCACTAAGAAAAATTGAAGGGAGTAACCACCATTCTAACCTGTGAAATCAAGGGTTTCCAGCATGGGATTTATTAGTTGCCCAAGAGCATAAGAAAGGCACCAGGGGCCATCAGGCACTGCTAAAAAAAGCCTGACCATACCCCAAAACAACTTAGGAAATGAACATTTCATTTCAAGGATCCATAACATATAATGATAATGGTCCTGATTCAAGAAATCAAACCTTAACCCACAATGATGGAAGAGAAAGACCCCTACTTTTACATTATTTTTACTAGAAATATAACTTGAATAAACAATTATTCTGTAAATTGATGTTTACCTTCCATATTTAGTATCTCCAACAAGGAGTTCAGGAGCTCGGTACCACCTGGTAGCTACATAGTCAGTGTAAACTTCCCCTGGGCCAGTAGCTACAAAAATTAATATTTATTGATACACTTTAAGAGAGACAACTCTGTAAAATGGACACCTAGGGTGCCTTTCTTTACTTTATTTGACTCTCTATATGACAGACATCTCTCTAAGATGGACACTAAATGCCGGTCCCAAAGGTGTCTGTCTCAGAGAGAGTTAAGCACTAATATTTCAAGCCACAACAAACATACCAAATAAAACGTAGATGTTCCATTCTTAAGAGAAAACTGAACCCTTTGGCTATTATATTTTAGTAAAATCCAACTAGTGGTCTATTATCAATGCTGTGCTCTGATTGGTCATGCTACTACTAGACTATATGTTACAGCCCACTAGTAGCCAAAAGCGCTGGCTTTGAAACCAAAACAATAGCAGCTGAATCGCATTTTGCTAGCTAAAGTTGTTATGTCTCCACATTTTTGACCAAATAGGTGGATTTTACTAAAATATAAAAGCCAAAGGGTTCAGTTTTCTCTTAAGAATGGAACATCTACGTTTTATTTGGTATGTTTGCTGTGTCTTGAAAATAATATTAGTGCTTAACTCTCTCTGAGACAGACACCTTTGGGACCGGCATGTAACTATTATTATTACATGTATTCTTCTCGCCCTCATGGCCTCTGAGTCAATAGTTGGCCTCATGGGCTATTAAATCAGAGCCTATTTGGGCTCAAGCTCGAGGAATAATTGTTAAATACACCTGCACATTACATGTAAGAAAACACACTTTACCACCATAAAATTTTACACATTATGAATAATTTTGTGCATCATGGAAGTCTCTTTTCATGAGTATACATATATTAAGAAGAACTTTGTCTTTTAACTACTGCAAATTGTTTTTAACTAAAACTTTGGTCAGTCTTATCAAAGTACAAGAATCCAAGGTTTCAGTGATGTCACCATCTGGAGATCAGTCACCGTGTCACAGTGACAAAGAGATTACCGCCTTTCAAGATTAGGCAAAACAAAAACAAAAAAGTTACAAACAAGCAGCAAAGGAAAATTTTCAGTGTAGTGCAAACTGCCCACTAAACATCCAGCAACTGGATGAACAACTAGTGCACATACACTGTACAAAGTGCATTTTAACAAATAATAATGTTAATAAAGTCTTACAAACCCCATTTGCCATTCATTATAATGCCTTTAACAGATATATACTACTCACCTAGTGTCCTTGCAAATCCAAAATCACACAACTTTACAACACCAGATTTGGATACCAAAATATTCTCAGGTTTTACATCTCTGTGGATAATCTAAAATTAACACAAGTTGTTATTTTTATTTATTCCTTTTAAAAGCAATTATTATTGTTTTATACACAGTGGAAGAATAAATAATATCAATATGTGGAAGTCACTTATGGCAGACAGTCATTTTTGAGAGCTGTAAAGCATATGGAGGTTCAACTATCTCTTATTGTGATACAAAAAGGCTATAAGGTTTATATAAATACAGCCTGTAGGGTGTAAAGAAAGTCAGTTTTAGGCCTTGCCATTTAGACAAGATGTAACTAGCATGTAATAGCCCAAAAGTCTTTTTAACTAGCCAGAAAAAAAAAATTTGATGAGAAGGTTCTGTAACTCCAATTCCCCCAAAGAACTTCAACTACCCATAGAGCAAGTTACTCACTTATAATAAGTCAGATAGCAAAATTTGCTAGCATACAATAATAAAATCTGCTAGCTCCAGGTACCAGACATGACTATCTTTGGCTGCTGCATATGTGTACAAACAAAACTCAAACATTTAACCTGAAGATACAGTAAGTATTATACACTACACTGTACCTTTACTGAGAGCAAATCGTTGTTCTAGACTCCTCTAAACATGTAGCATGATTTACCTAAAAGGTGGTTCTTTTCATTGGGAACTGGGTATGCAAAGGAAATCTGCTAGGAATTTTGCATTTTGAGCAGCCTTATTTGTCCACTGGTTAATGAATGATCCTATGGCTGTATTCAACTTATAGATACATTGTACAGGTAAGTGGTGTTTTAAGAGAGGTACAATACCTGTAAGTTTATATAACAACAGAAAATTGGTTAACTATTTTAAAGGATATTTATATAAAAAAAAGTGAGGATGATCTTTGTGTTGGAATGTCCAAATGAGGTCAGGTATTTTTTTGTACTTACATAATGGTTATGACAGAATTCAATTGCCCTCAGCACTTGCCATAACACTTTTCTAACAGTGTTTTCATCTAGACCATTGGGATACCTCTCCAGCTCATCAAGCACTGTGTGATCCACAAACTCAAACACAAGGAACAAGCGTTTCTTGCGACGAAAAACTTCTATCAAGTTGACAAGGTTGTCGTGTCGTAATTGCTGAAATGTGAAATTGATTAGGTATTATTGAATCGACATAATGTGAACAATCCATTTTTGAACATACCTGTACAATAAAATTAACAATAACAACATTTTGCAACGGTTACAGCTGTAACCTTCGTTGAAAAGCAAGGGTTTTAATAGTTTGACCTCAACCTACAGTTATGAATTAAACTCTAACCACCTTGCAGCATTATTCAGACTGTACAGCAATGACCACAAACACTAGTGACCAGTTTGACGATTGCCAATTATATTTAATTGAGAATTGATTCAAAATTTTATCTGATAATCACAGCTAAGTTAAAAATAATAATAATCAGTGAGAGGTAAAAATACATAATGGTGGATCTTTTTCATTTCTTAAACTTTTACAATGGTGAGCACTACTCTGTAGAGTCTATTAAACCTTATAATCGGTGCTTATACTAGGGATATGAACAGATAATGCAACAAGCTTTCATGTATTTATATTTCAATCAGGATTCATTATTTAAGCCTTACGTAACTGTACCTAAACAAGATAAAAAAAACTTGCAGCAGTGAGGTTTTATAGAAATTTGACAGCTAAAATATATAACTAAGTTTACAAGAATATTTTCAACCTTATGTCGAAAACTCAACCAAAAAAACAATGAAGAAATCTCTCATCTCCTAGTACAGCTCAAACACATGTCAAAACAACAATGCACGTTGTAGCATTGGGGATGGAATTTATGTGTTCAATAAGAACGTATATTATTATTAGTAGTAGTAGTAGTAGTAGTAGCAGTAGTAGTAGTAGTAATGTGGCTAAACCTAATTTGGGCAAAGTTAACCTGGAAGCAATGCTGATCAGCAGTTTCCCCAGCTATACTAGGGGTGGCCCCATGCCTCTAGCAGGGGCACCTCGTGACTCATGTTACTTGCTTGCAGTTCTTCGCAAAGTGTTGTTGCAATAGCTTGCTGTCTGTGTGCCATTTTGTGCTTTGGTTTTTTGCCATCCCTCCCTCCCTCTTGACGTAAGGGCCAAGTAAGTATTGGTTGGTAAGTATTCCACCGAATTGTTCAGTGTGACGGTGCCTGGCGGGGGCCGCTTATTATTATTATTATTATTATTATTATTATTATTATTATTTTACAGTGACAGTATCAACATTAAATTAGCCTTCCCTTGTACCGTAAACTAATGTTCAATGACAGCATCATAGCTACATGTACTCATATGACTTCGAATAAGAAATACAAATAATTTGTATAGAACTTCAAAATACCACGCATATCATTCAGAAATTATTACATTTTACATTATTACTGTATAAAATTTACATTATGCATTAGAAAAGTTATTCCTTTTTGTGTTGAAAGATTATTAAGTTTTCCATTGAAAATTTTATTATATACTTTTTGCATCAATGTTATTACATTTTGCTTTAGTATGCAGCAATTCATATTGCATTGTACATTTTGCGTTGATGTTACATTTTGGAGTGATTATTACATTTTGTGGTGTAACATTGTCCTTACCATTGCCACAACTGATTGTCATTTCATAAGCTGCTCAATATACAGGTAGAGGAATTGATAAAAAAAATTGCCACTGATTATGCTTATACTGTTAAATGACGTTGAATCTGCGAAAAGTTACTTTTAATTTCTGTACAGAGTTTTTAGTGATGTTGGAGAGCATTGAACAGTAAACCTTCACTCCTCATTTGAAAAACTGTGTATGCAAACTGTTTTCATGCAACCATGTACATAAATATAATCATTTTGGCTTCCAGTATGGCCTCCATGTCATGTCAGTGAATTTTAATTTTTCAGTGTTGGCTTAAGATTTTTTACCTAATGACATTATATTTCAATACAAATTTAAGATTTCAGATAAGCTGACAATATCATAATAATACATAATTAATTAGTTTTCACTCAAAAAATTAACGAAAATAAAACAACAGACGTGTTCAGTGCACAACCCTCAATCGAAAAATTTTACGTCATCTATCAGATGTAAGAAAAGAAAATAAATGTTGTATAAAAACTGAGGTAGAAAAAATCTAACGTTTAATTTGACGAAAACGTTTGTATTGTCTTGTTCCCTGAACTGATGTAAGGGAAAAAAATTAACCTTACTACTGTCATAAACTGATAAATATTAAGACAAGTCATAATACACAATCACCAAACTTTGGGAACAAACTGACAATTCCCTTTCTTAGCTTACAGCAACAAACCTTCCGCTGCATGACACTCAGCAATAATTAATTGAGTACAATGCAATATCTAAATAATAAGCAGGAAATCCACAAGTTTGAGGGGCTATTAACGATCATTACCTAACAGTATAGAGAAAAATTTTCAAAGCGAATCTTTCGGTTCAGAAGAAGCCAGAGATCCAAGGATTCAAAGGCAAAACACCTATGACGCTTAATAAAATTGCCAAATTGGTAAACAAACAAGCTACAGTTCAAATATCGTGTATTTTCTTACAGTAAACACGGTTATGGATAGCTTAAACATTATGATCCCATTGAACTCACCTTCAGCGTTCTTATTTCTCTTAGAGCGATTTTCTTGACCATTTTATCGTCTTCAGACTCGATGAATTTCTTGATCGCCACAATTTGGTTGGATTCTTTATGCCTACACTTCATGACCATACCATATGAGCCTTCCCCGACCAAACCTAAATTCTCGTACTTTTCCATGGGACAAAAACAGTGTCAAGTCGTTTCCATGCACTCAGTAAAATCTCCACTCAAAAACTTTAAGAGGATGAGATAATAAGCCACATAAAAAACACATTTCTTGTGTACGAACAATCAGCAAGCTAGATATGATTTCTGGTTTCGAATGACTGATGAAACCTTGCTAATGGCGCTAGCTTCTTTCGCTTAATATGCAGACCTTCCGAATACTTCAATAAGTCACTGTTTTCCTTTCACGCAGTTTCATACCGTATTTTAAGGACGAAACTAGTGGAACCATTTAATTGTGTCGTACGTCGCTCGTTTGAGAACAATGGCAACGACAAAATTCCTTAGTTAAGCAATACGCTTCCCGTATATACGAGACGAAACGAATGCAGGCGGGCTCGTCGTCAGGTAAAATAACACTGCTTTAAACCTGTGTCTCTGAAACTTCTCCAAGGAGTGCTTCCCTATAAGCTTAATTAAGACACGATTCCAGCACCAAAAAGCGGCCAACCAAGAAAATGTTCGTAGTAGCTTACTACAACTGTCTTCCTTGTTTAGTTCTCATCCAACAACATAAGACTTTCCTACTGATAATCCATCGAAAAGTATATCCTGTTACTTTAAAAATTCCACTTTCGAATAACAATGATTATGAACCAAATGCAATGAAGAATATGAACAGTCTCTTTATCGATCACAACCTTTCCGCCATTACAAAGCTTTATGTTCCTCCGCATGACCCCTCAAAATGGCAATTTTTGCAATGTTGCCATGGAAACCCGTTTATTTGTCACTGCCTCGTGCCAGTCTCTGTAAGACAGCTCTCGCGCGCAAATATCTTTGGGAAGAAAACTATTCAGTTTTCACTAAATTCATCACGCTTAATGGACACCCCATTAATACAGACACTTTCTATTCCCCGTCAGTGTCTGTGTTAACGGGGTTTGATTATATGTAAAAATTCAACGAAAAAATTTATGCAGCTAACAACACTCCTGAGTCCTAACAGTAGTTTTGGAAGCAAGGACCTATTAACATTTCTGCAAAGTCTGTCCCCTTAAATGACATATTTCTCAACGCGACGAAAGGAACGGAACTGCGAAAAACGGGAGAGGAAGCTATTTTTTCCCTTTTATTCTTGATTGATCTGCCAGAATGTTCACGGTTACTTCTCCTGTTTTCAGCCAATACTTATCTGCAGATGCTTAGGGGTAGGCCTTTCCTAATTCTGCTCCGAAAAAAGCTAAAAAGTTGCTAAGAAATATGCCAAAAAGTTGCTCAAAAGTTGCTCAAAATTGAAAAAGTTGCTCAAAAATTTTGTAAAGTTGCTCTAATATTTTTAAGACAGCATGTCTAATTTTAATAACAATTGCTTTGTAATCAACATTAAGGTACAACTAAGTAACTAGTTACAACAAATTAGGCAACCTTTAGTTGAATCTAAGTGGCTAGTTACAAAAAGGTTAGACAGTAAGTGTAACAGTCTGGTTTACCAACTGCAATAGCTAACTGTTGTTTTCGTACGTTTTCGCCCCCCGCCCCCACGAGAAGGGAAAAGCCCTGGGAACTAGGACCCAATTCTTGTAATTAATTACCACGTCCACATGATACCCATTCAAAGGGTAAAAATATGATTTTTTTTCTAGAAAGATGTTTAGAATTTTAACCAAGAGAAGTTTAACTTGTTTATTTAAAAAAGGGGGTTATTCAGCATTTTGGTTCAAAATGGTCCAAAAGTTACCAAAAAAGTGCTAGTTTTCCGAAAAGTTGCTAGAAGTTGTTCTCTGACAAAAAAGTTGCTCAAAATCCTAAAAGTTGCTAAAAAGTTGCCGAGCAGAATCTGGAAAGGCCTACTTAGGGGAAGGTTTCAAGTAAGTCTGAAAGTACGCAGTAGCCATAAGCCAATTTCAGGTTGATTGGCTGACACTTCAAACTTACATCATAGTTTCCTCCTATAACAAGTTTATTTACCAAGGTGCGAGCAATAACTTCCCCAAATTTTTGTTGTTACTGAAATATCTATAAATCGTAACTGTTCATCAAGATGCCTACAGTGTGTGAAACTCCACAATCGCTTCCGCACCATAATTAATTCCATACCAGCTGTCAGAAGCCTCTAAAGCGCGCCTGCAACTGTAGGATATAAGGAACTTGTAAAGATTTAAGACCCATAGACATTATACTTATGACTGTTTTTATTGTTTGTTGATTTATTTTTCGCTCTTATGCAGCATTAAAAAATTAAGAAACGCCGTCCTTTCTCTCGGTCACCGCCCTTCAGAACGGATCCACCCTCAAACTTCCTTGTCCCCACCCCTCACCTTGCTCTATCAGGCCATGGTATATGCGGCTAAATTAAGACAACAACCGAAAACTAAGGGGATTTTCACTAAAATGAGGGTAAGGGGTGAGGAAGTATACGTAGTCGACTGAACTAAAATGCGGAAAAATCGGTCTCCACCTTCCACCCCTGTCAGGGCCTCTTTCTGGTTGAGCGTGCTGTGATTGGCGGATAAGACAAAGGACAGGTTTAACATTGTTCAGTGCTCAACTACTATTTGGCAGCCTGGGGACCGGTGCAGGATTCCTTGCAAAAAGGCGAAGTAAAATAGATGTTGCTTTTAATACCAAATTAAGAAGGTTGTTGATGCTTCCTTGAGATATTTCTGGCTCAAAAATCCAGCTGCTAAGGTAAGAGTTCAGGTTTTGTCAAATATGGGTGCCTTATTAGGTTTCGATCGGAGGAAGATGGCGGCGCTCTCGCGTGAATCCAAAAGCTTGATCACATGAGGTTTGATTTTGACTCTGTTGTTCTTCCATTCCTATCGCGATACTATTAGAGGCCAATTGTGTTAGCATGTCTTCCGATTAAGCTCTTCTTTTGGGTCTTTTGTTTCCTAAGTCTTCATTTTGTACTGACCATCTAACCTAAGTCACGAAAGGCCATCGATTTCGACATCGATATGATGTCGTTGAATCTTCTTTACGCTTACTTTTTCTTATCCTTTCCATGTTTTTAGCGATCATAAGCTGTCACTTTCAAAACTTGTCGTTGTGCGTTGTTTCGACCTGATAGACCACTGAGGAAGTGACTTTTGTTGGGCTAAAAGGTGCTCTTTAAGTCGCGTTTGTTTTGCATTGGATTGTGATCGATGTGATTATTTATACAATCAACTTGCAATTGACACGCCTTCCCTGCTGAGTATTGCGAGTTCCATCTATTTTTAAATTTATCCTTTTTTCGAGAGATTTGTTTGCCTATGACAGGAATAAGTAAATTAAGGTTAAATTGTTTGTTTTGTGTTGATGACAAGTGAACTTTTGTCCCATTGATTTAGCAAATTTGGCTTTAAAGTAAGCTTAAGTGAGTGCCGAAAAATGTCGATTAAACCATACCACTATGATGGTAAGAAGTGTTAAAAATGCGTTCACTGTGCTTTTACCCGGATGATCTTCCAGTTAATTTCTAAACTTGAACATGTGAAATCACAACTAAAACTCACTGAAACTGCAACAATAATTATTTATATATAGCTTATACATTTTTTTTCTGTGGTTGCCTTAATATTTTGATGTACTTTGGCAAATTAGATAACAGACATACCTCCTAACAGACATATGTATTATATGCTGGCTTTTGCGGTACGTTTTTCCATATAAGCTTATGCAGGAAGCTACACCTCAACATATTTAGCTGAGTGAGGCCTTGTCATGTAT